ATTTCAAAATCCATTGAAAGCTTTGTAAAGTACAGATTTTACCCTTGAAAGTGAAAAAAAAACTTTTTAATGCAATTATTTTTCGCGGAGTTACACCTATTTGAATTTATGCGAAATTTTATTGATGAGTGTACATATATATATGTATACATATATATGATGTCCCAGAATGATCGCCACATTTTTCGTGCGCAAGTAGAGCAGACTAAACTGAATTGAAAAGTCTTCTATAATTTTGCAACTTTTGCAATGAAATTAACAAGATGTTAATTGCTACAAATTGCATGGAATATTGGTTTTTAATAATTTTTTATTCAAGTACTTACAACTTTATAGAAAAACGGTACAGACAAAAACTATTTATTTTCTTCTCAGAGTTTAAAGAATTTTTCAGAATTTTTAAATCACTTTTTAGTACTGCATTTTCTTATTGGTAACTTTTCATGAACATGAGAAAATGCGGTACTAAAAAATTTTGAAAAAATTCTTAGGACTTTATGAGAAGAAAATAAACAAATTTTGTCTCTTGCTGTTCTTCTGTAAAGTTGTTAATATATTTGAGTCAAAAGTTAATGAAAACCAATATTCGGCGATTTTTAATAATTAATTTGTTGTTAACTGTTGTGAAAATTACAAAATGGTAGAGGACTTTTCGACTTAGTTCGTTCTACCTGCGCACGGAATATTTTACACACACACGCACGCACACCCACACACAGGGTGGAGCATTTAAATCGCCCCAGGTGAATATCTCAGAAACTAAGAGAGATACAAGAAAAAGTTTTATATGATAGTTGTAGGTTTTCTCGGAGAAAAGAAGGTGAAAATAACGGATTTGGAATACGATCCTAAACAACATTCAAGAGGTTTTAGCCGTCGGTCAGACACCTTGCGTAATGTAATGCTAATGTCGGTACTGTAACTTCCAAGCCTTATAACTCGAAAAGTACTTCATGAAAAAATATTTTATTATAGTGTTTTGAAAATGTTTCGACTTCAGCTACAAGAATATGTAATAAAAAATAGTCCATTTAAAAAAATTCATGTTTACCTGACCTGATCTGACCTTGATAGTACTCCCTGTAAAAAATCCGTTATTTCTACCTTCTTTCCCCCAAGAAAACCTACAACTTTCATATAAAACTTTTTCTCTATATCAGTGGTCGCAAGGATTTGCACATTTCGGGCCGATTCAGGCGCGCGACCCCCACCACCGCACGGCTGAGCCGCCGGGCGGTCACGTGACGCTCTGACTTAGGGGCGCTCCTATATCAGAAATATACTGGGAGCCTTCCGTCAAATTATTATTGAAATGTTTTTTATTAAATAATTTATATAATTATATTATTTATTTAATAATTTATATA